GTTCGTACCAAGCAGCAGTGTTTTCAGGGTCAGTCAATAAAGGTCAAAAAAGGTCAATGGCACTGACCTATGACTGGGGGCCGCGGCCGCGGCGCGTATGGGGGGTTTACTCCCACGTCGACATACGTGCGGCCGCCGCGGCGCCACAGGCACGACTCGGAGGCGCGACGCCTTGATGCTCCCCCTCCGCCTCCCTGTTCTCCGAGTCGCTCCCGCTCCCGCCCTCCGTCATTGCCCGTACGGAGTGAAGCCCTCCCGCGACGAACCGAACCCGCCGCCGTCAATGACCGGTCATGGACGGTCATTCTTGAGTGGACTGGTCACGGCCTTTAATTTGTCAAACAACTTTGACATCGTCAATGTCATCCACCAAAGGCAGCAGAGGCGATTGAAGAGGTCAGGGTCAACGGTCAATCCATTGGCCCTATGTCAGACCGAAGTTTTACCCTATATAATAGTATTTTTTTCTAAACAAAATTGAGGATGCAGACCGGGATCTGAAGGTAAGGTTAGTGCGTAATAATTGACGAAAAGAGACGGTCAGGGTCAGCCTGCTGCTTTTCCAAATTTAGAGGACCAATGGCGACGTACCGCGCGTCGAATGGCCCGTTATAATTAAATCTGCGCATGCCTTTAGGGAGATATTCAGGGACTCCGACTCCCTCACAGGCTTTAGGGCGGCCTTCCTGCGCGACATTCACGTCTTGCGTCCTGAGTGGTGTCTCGGCGTACGGACTGTAGCGGCGTATGAATTCCCGACAAGTCTCGTGCATTGCCCCGACGTTACTAAACGTCTCGCGCGCTTTGTATTATATGTATACGTCGCATGTGCTTCCTGCTGTTTCAATGTGGGACCGCGCAGGCAATCCTCCTCCTCCTCCTCCAGCTAATGCAATCACAATCGAGTGAATGGAAAGTAGGACAGGCCAAGACGACATCGAGCTGGTCAAAGAACAGCTTGCAGCAAGCTTGACGTATCTGTCCTCTGCACGACGCGATGCGCTGACGCTCCAATCGACCAGAGACATTGTCTGAAGCTGTTATTCGCGGCGAATGAGGTTTAGTCTTGAAATATCTGCCGTCTGCTTGAGGATCCGATGAAAATTAAGGTCACGGTGAAACCTGGTGAAACAGGCAATCCCAGCTTGAAATTTATCGAGTGCGAGTGGAAGTGCAGCTGTTTTTTCTGGGTGCCAGCCTTCTAGAAAATGGCGAAGTCGAGCATGTAAAGAGTGCTTCGTCGAGATAGTATTTACTTATGCATGTGAAGCAAATGTGAAGCCAGTTTCTACAAGGCGGCGAAGTTTGTCTTGAAAGCGATTCTCACTTGAAGATGCCGGTGGGGTGAAGTGGATAACCCATGTGTTCCGGATATCGTTGGAACGCGGCCTTTTCAGTGACGTTTGGCGCTAGTAGGCACCGGAGTTTGCCGGAGTTTGACTCGTAACTTGGCAAGCACCGTGACGTGATTGTCTTGGCTGCCTGGGTCATGGTGACAGGCAACGGAAAGGGTTTTGACGGCGCTTACATAATGCGCCCAAACACGGAAATCATGGCAGATTCAGTCGGTCCATCCTACAGCATTAACCAGTGACCTTTTGGCCAAACTTTGAGTGGAAGATGATCTTAATTTTACATTTTACAGAGGATGTCCCGGCCCGATTTTTGATTTTGGACCTGCAAATCTTCCGAATTTTCAGATCATTTACAATAAAGTTTCGGGAGAGAAAATGGGAAATCTGGCCGGGACATCCTCTGTAAATGAATTTCGCAAGTGTGCTGCAATTTATTTTATGGCAAACGATTCAGTATTGCTTGCGCTATGATGGACCAAAGGATCGCCCTGCGAAATAGCGGATCGATGTACGTAAACTCATCAAACGCATCCATCCAGCGCCCTCCATCCCGTATGCCCGCGGCGCGGACGGTGAAGGAGTCTAAACAATACCAGGAGATACTTTTTCCTCAGCTCGACCTTCAGCTCAAATGGCATCGACTCCGGGAGTTTGAAATGGACAAGAAGACCGAAATTCCGCCGTTGTCCAAGCTCAAGAAACAACAGAAGGCCGAGCTCATTGTGGCCGCCGTAGTGCGTTGGAAGCGTCGAGTGGATGCTGGAGAGGTACCTCTGATGGGTTTTCAAAGTTCCGAGCCAGTGGAAGAAGATAGAGTTATTGTCGAGCCGAGGATGATGCCGGTTATGGAGACCGAGAATAATTCATAATTTCTATGACTTTCTAATCATTTAAAGGCATATAATAATTGTAGATACCTTCCTATCCATATAAATAATACTTTTGGTGACTGCAGGGACTTGAGTGAGTGTGGTAAACACGAAAGCTGGATTTGCCATCTAAATCAGCCGCTTGGCGGGCGGTGCAAACAAGTGCAAACGGACATTTGATGCCTGCCATTTGCCTGTCACCCAGTGTTCGCCCGAAGGGCTAAGCCTTAAAAGTTTAAGGCCTTAATTAAGACCTTAAATAAGGCCTTAAGGATTTTCAGCTAAGTTTTAAGGCCTTAACAAGGCCTTAAGCTATCACGTGTACTGGTATTATTATTATTCCTCTGCCATTACGCGTCGTCGGACATCTCTGAAGGATTATTTCTGGCCCGAGGATCCGAAAAATACCGTGAAACGGACATACTGCAAGGCTTGCATGTCCACCAGCTAGACAGCGTTGTTGGAGCGACTACGACCGGCGTGGTGGAAGGCTCCCAGGCATTCAAAGACTCCAGAGTAGGTTTTACTGTAGGCACTGGCGGAGGCTGCAGACGGCGGTCCTGGACGATGTGTGGCGCCGTCGAGATTGAGTTCACTGGGATTTCGGCCGTGCCTGGGGCGTGGGAAAATATATTTAAGCCCTTAAACTACACTTATATTTAAGCCCTTGCCCTTAATAAGGCCTTAAGGATTCTCGAACCTCGATTTAAGGCCTTAAGGGCGGACACTGCTGTCACCACCAGTGGGTCCGTGTCAATCCTTACTCCTGTGCTCAACTCCTTGGGCAAGCATAGCAGAACTTGCAACTTGGCCCGCAAAAACCCGGAAATCTGGAACGCTAGTGTCGGTATCAGCGATGGTGTCGATATTATGCGCCAGTAACGCTTGTCCACTCTATTCAAGCGTCCTCCTGGCCAGATGCGACCAGTAACCGGAGTCCTGGACAGAAAAGCAACAGCTCGTCCATGGAACACTTCTCAAGACGCCCGGGAAAGACAGCTGACAGGACGCCCCGTGTGTGTTGGTCGCGACTCATCCGCCTGCGTGGCGTTTAAAGTAGGCTTACCAGAGTGGAGCAACCTTCATGTCTATCATCATATGCGCCCGCATACGGCTCATCGAGTCATCCCCAGGCGACGCCATATCCTCGCAAGTCCTCCTGCTCGAATTAAGCTGCTTAGAGTTCCGATTCACCCCAGTGTTAGGCACCAACTGTACTGAGCCTGCTGGAAATTCTTTCAGCTGATTGTGCGCTCACTAATAGTAGCTCGCAAGCCAAGTTCCACTGCCGCCGTGTAACCGTAGCCGACGATGCGTAATTTTCTTATAACCGTGTAGCCGACTTACTCTTATAGCCGTGTAGCCGAGTATAAGAGACATAGCCATCTAGCCGACTGTCCTCTCTAAGAGATAAAAAGGTGAGATCCAACCGTGCATCATCTCTTTTCTCCTTCACTTCCTTCCTCAACACATGATGAGCGTCGAATTCACCGTATTCAAGGGATCTGCCACCGGCATTGTCGAAAGTAAAACGCACCAAGCAGCACCGAGAGGAAACCCAGGTCCTCGTCAAAATTACACACTCCGGGATATGTGGCACCGACGAATATTACAAGGAGGCGGACATGGTGCTGGGCCACGAGGGTGTCGGGACAGTCCAGCAGATCGGCGAGAGCGTCAGAGGCTTCACTGTCGGGGACATCGTAGGCTGGGGATACACGCACAAGACATGCGGAACCTGCGAGCAGTGCTTGCTAGGTAGGCCTCTTTTAAAAATTAGCCCTTCCTCTGTCGCTGACCTTGGGATAATTTCTAGGACGAGACCAGTACTGCCCAGACAGGGAGCTGTATGGGGTGCACAACTTGCACCAGGGCTCCTTCGGCTCACACGCCATCTGGGACGCCTCCTTCCTCTTCAAAATTCCTGAAGGTCTCGCGCCGGAGTACGCCGCTCCGCTCATGTGCGGCGGTGCGACCATCTTCGAGGTGATCGAGTCGTACAACATACGCTCCACCCACCGCGTGGGCGTCGTTGGCATCGGCGGCCTGGGACACTTGGCGATCCAGTTCCTCGCTAAGAGGGGCAAGTGTCGTGGTCTTCTCAAGTACCGAGTCCAAGCGCGAGGAGGCGCTGCGCCTTGGCGCGACGGAGTTCTACGCCACCCAGGGTGTCGAAAAATTCGAGATGGGTAAACCCGACCATCTGCTGGTTACCACGAGCTTAATGCCGGACTGGAACCCGTACGTAGCACCCTTCTGCCACCGTATGTACACTAACTGTTATCCACGTAGATACCTAAGCGCGATGAAGCCTAGAAGCACCATATACCCGCTAACAGTCAGTTTTAGCCCCCTCGTCATACCCTCCTTGCCCGTTCTTGTAGCGGGCATCACCATCCAAAGCTCGGCCGTCGCAGCGCGCTCAGCACACAAGAAGATGCTCGAGTTCGCGGCACGGCACCACATTGAACCAGTTATCGAGCGTTTCCCGATGACGCTCGGCGGGGTGAAGGAGGGTATGGCCCGGCTTCGCGAGGGCAAGATGCGGTATAGAGCAGTGCTTGTGGCTTAGAAGGTCGAGATACGGTTGCGTTTCGCCAGAACATATGATATCAATATACCTGTATTCAATTTGTAATCGTGCACACGGTGGACTGTAGGAACCCATCTTGAATGGCAGTGTGGCGATATTAAGTTAGTTTCAACTGTGAGAGATTATTCGTCAATTTACATTTCGGGACCTTTACCTATTCCAGGTTGCGGAAACTCTCCCATCGGTTCGATGGTGTAGTTGGTTATCACTTCTGTCTAACACGGTCATTCTAAATGCTCCGGAGTTCCACAGGCGGTCCTCAGTTCGAACCTGGGTCGAATCATGTTTTGCTTCTCCTGCGTTTGATTATCGATTATCGGATTGATCTAGGCATGTGTTATCATTTTGATATCGTTCCCTTACGTTTAGGCTGTCGCTGGTCCCTCGGGAGACGCCTAGTGAGCTACAAACGCAAAACGGGCGCAGAGGGAGAAAAAAAAAGTGATCGGGATTACCCCATTTAGCTTGATATGTCACGTGGTGGATGACTCGACGCGTTTTAGGACATCCGCCGGCGGCATCATCAAAAAGTTTTTGTATCGCATTGTACTTAAAGTAGAGTGTACTGTGCAACACTCATACAACATGTCTGGCCAACACGCCTGGCATGTCCCTCAATAAAAAAAATCGAATAAAAAAGACAATGATTCGAATGAAGCAGCGGCAATATCGTACACAGGCAACGCACTTGGAACGAACGGAGGAGCAACTCGTCCGCACCCATCATGGCGCCCTCGTCGTCGAGCTCGCCGCAGTAGTTCGGGCGGAGAACAGCGTGAAAGGTGCCGCTTCGCGAAGAACTCGTACCCGTCCTCGACGAGCTGAGCATCGGCACGCACGGACAATGGATGGCGCACCTGATGCCCCCTGCATCTGAGGTCCACCTCGTGTTTTTCGAGGAACCGCACGATGACATCGGGACCAAAGGTAAACGACGCGCCGCGGTCATTAGGCGGTATCGGGATCAGACAACAACAACTCGGAGAGCAGCCCTGCACGCCGCTCAGCACCGTCGGAGACACACGAGACACACTCACCCGTGTCGGGCACGTCCGTCGGCCACATCACGCGCCGCATCTGCTCCATCGACGGACTCAGCCCGCCGTGCACGGTGAGTATATTTTCGTCGATGTTCGCGTCTTCCACAGCTTTGTGCTGTACCGCCGTTTGCCTACCGCCGCTTGCCTGTCGCCCCGCCCCGTCAATATAACGGCGAATAGACGCCAGCAAAGGCTGTAGAGCACAACGAGACGCACATTCATCGTAGAACCCGTGAATCCGGTTGATACACGCGTACTCGTGGTTCCCGCGCAGGATGAAAAAAGTTCTCGGGGTACTTGATTTTGTACGCGAGCAGCAGGCAGATGGTCTCGAGCGACTGCTTCGCGGGGTCGACGTAGTCGCCGAGGATGGCCTCGGGCGGGAAGCCCCGTACTCGAACAGCCTTAGCAGGTCGTACTGCTGCCCGTGGATCCGTCCGCCGTCCGTCTGCACCGCGGGCACACGATTGATCGGCGCCTCGAGCTCGAGCAGGATGCGCTGGTCGATGAAGATCTCGCGCGCTTTGTTGCTCCAAACTCCTGCAGCTGCACAGGCTCGCCGGGACGGTTGCCCCACACTAGGAAGGTATCCCGTATCAGCCTGGCGCTGCAGCCAAAATGCATCCGCGCACCTTCGAGGACGATACTGCCCTCGCTGTCGTGGTCCTCATGTTGACAGCCATCATCGTCACTTTGGCGTACTCTTTAGACTTTCCGAGATGATTCGCCAGCTTCTGGAGGGTCCTGGCGATTAACGCAAGTGCGAGACGCCTGAGTACGTCCCCCGCATACACAGTCCCACGTTCGACGCCAGTGTGCGTTACAGCTTGTATCGAGGTCCGGGGGCTGGGCGTGCGCGGGGCGTTGCCATAGACCAAGCTCGTGGATTGAGGCTAGATATCTAGCGGTGACAAGTAGGCGCTTGACGCAGGCGCCTATTCAGAGTCTGAACTTGGTCTGAACATCACTTGTCTCATGGAACTTGAAGCAGATTTCCTACGGCGTACTCATAACATCCACTATTTGGAGATCTATCGCTTGGGCGTCTAGCGTTTTGCGGACATCTCGGCGATGAAGCTTATTCGACACTGGGAGTGCTGCGTCCACCTGGTTATCTCTCCCTCACCAGCAGGAAGAACCAGCATGGAAAGTGTTCCAATACGGCGGATGGATACCTTTGCGTACAAAAAGCGAGCCTCGACTGCACTCTCGACAACTCCCCGCTCGACTCACGCAAACCACACTCACATCCTCTACTTCTCATCCAACAATGGCTGGTCGCGTTCACGCTCGCTCCCCGCCGATGCCCCTGATTTCTCAAACCCAGCCCGGTCGTGGCAACCTCTCCCCTATCTCTGGGTATGTTTTTTCACTCTCGTTACCGTCTTGTCACCTAATAACGACGTTGTAGCGGCGGACAATTCGGGTATGCTCTTCCCTCTCATTACCGTCCCGTATGCTAACGACGACGTGTTCTAGCGGAGGACAGTTCGGGTACGATCTTCACTTGCATTGGGTTCCCGTGTACTAAGGACCATATTTTAGAGGACAAGGACAATATCCGTCATCCACAGAGTCGAATTCCGTCACACAGAGTAGCCAGCGCCAGGAGGCCTACCGCAGCTCCACGTCGCGCAGGGAAGAGGCCCATGAAAGTTTCGAGCGTACCTCTCGCGCAATGGAGTAAGTTCTTTATGGCTCAGTCGAATTAGTTATTAATTATACCTATCGCTCAGGGAATACCGCACCCGTAGCATCACGATGACTCTGGCCGACGACTGTCAACTTGAATTGGACGGTTCGATACTCACAATCACGCCGCGGTCGCCTGACATCAAGTTCAATTCCACCGACCTGAATCTTGACGAATACGTCGGGAATATCGGTGGAGAGCTCGTCTGGGGTGGTGACGCTGTCGACGCTGTCAAATTCAGCGAGTCGTGCGAGAGCATCCGCCTTGATGGGACACTCCTCCTCGCCTTGTGCCGCCATGGCAAAGACGAGCCCGTTCAAGCCGAGTTGGACTTGAACGACCACATCGCTTACAACTCTACTCGCCGCTGCTTTGTGGCCGTCGTCCCCGACGCCGCGTTTACCGAATTGATGTCCTCGGCCAACTGGATGAACCTCACCGTCATCACCCGGCCCGACATGCGCAGCTTCCTCAAGAATCCGGCGTTCCAGAACGCTATCAGCAGCGTCGCGCAGCGCGCGATCGACGAGGTAATGAACCAAATGAAGGAGGTCATGGCGCTTGCGGTCGAGGAGGCGGTGGCCATGGTCAGCGCCAAGTCTGAGGAGTACGTCCAGAGGGAGATGGAGACCCTCATCAAGATGGCTACCAAGAGCGCCGCCAACACTGGTCTGGGTCGCTTGAAGATGATGCAGCTGGAGCAGAGGCGCGCCTTCAACGCCTTCGCTCCACACATTTCAGCGGATTTGGTTCCCGAAGAGGACGAGACCTCCTTCCACTAATCGTGGATTCGATCACTACTTCACTTCGACGCTACCGGCCCGTGTTCTTCCTACGCCTACACGTTCCAGTTTCCCGTGCTACATTAGCTACTTGGATACCGTTTTTGTGATCGATTCTAATTGAGCCTGAGTTGTTTCATTTTTTGCAGTCCAGTGCGACAGGGAGCAAAGCTGGCAGCAATGCATTTCGCGGTACGCGAATACTTCCCACAGCCATTTATCTAGGACGCACTAGGGCAATCCAACGGCTGTTTTCTATTATTCTATTTTTTTTGTCGGTGCACACCAGCTGGCCCGTCGTATTCGCACTCAAGTCCCAATTAACGGTGCGCCGAGACTCAACGGATACCCGGATCTGAGCGATTTAGGAGTTCCACAGGCGTTCGAATCATGTTTTGCTCTTCCTGCCTATGATTATCGATTATCGGATTGATCAGGGCATGTGCCATCTTTTACTAGCAGTTCCTTTGCGTCGGCGATGTCGGAAGCCGCCTGGTGTAACCACAGACGCGAAACAGACATGAGTGGAGGGAGAAAAAAAAGTGATCGGGGTTACCCCATTTAGCTTGATATTTCACGTGGTGGATGACTGGGCGCGTTTTAGGACATCCGCCGGCGGCCATTCAAAAGTTCTTGTATCGCATTACACTTAATAAAGTATGCAACGCTCATATTTCCTTGGCTAACAGATCCGCCACAGTCCACTATGCCTCGCATGTTTCCCGATAGAAAAAAAAAACCAACAAAAAGGACAATGACTCGGAAGCAGCCAATATCTTACACGATGGAATCTCGAGCCCGCGTCTGGGAGAGCGGCCCGGCGGAGGGTCATTCTGTCCCCAAACACGTGAGTTGCTTGTGGGCTGCTGTAGTCCTGCTGTCGAACAAATATAGCTTCAAAGGAAACGTGTTACCCAACACAGATGGCGTCCGAGTCCACTGCTCTCATCCGTGTCGATGGTCGTCGTTCTGAGCCGGAGACGAGCCATTTGGCAATTCTTCCTTTGCCTCGAAGAAACACCCTGACAGTGATGCACAACGGCCCAGGACTGAGCATGCTTCAATTGGCGACCTACGGGGGGAAGGCGTTCGAAGCTATTGCGAATTCCTGTTTCAGCGGACCCAAGAATCCCAAATCGTGGATCGTGAACTTCTTCGGAAATGATGGCAAGAGACAAACGGCTCTGGATAACTTGTACCATCATAACCAGAAACATCCGAGTTCCCGAATGATTCAGAAACAATACAAGGCATTGCGAGAGCATTGCCACAAGTTGCTGAACTATGTCTGTCCACGGTGCGTGTCTGGCTCTAGCTGGATGTACTGTACTAAATGTCCCTTCCAGATCACATACAGTGGACACTCAGCTCGTCACATTCAAGATGCTCGTGGCGATAATCCCTCGGTACCCGGGCATTAGGGTTCTGTTCTATGACCACAAGGACTTCAGGGGCGCATCGCTGAGTGATCTTTGGAAGCGGGACCAGGACTGTGGCAAAGAATGGACATTTTATCGCGACTTGGCTGTTTTTTCCATAACCGAATCAGGTCCCTTGACCGTTTTGGTGGAGAGAACACTGCCAAGCGAGCTTGGTCGCCTGGAGTTGGTGGGCGGCAGCTTGAACAAGGTCCCGACTGAAACTTTACTCGCATACTGTCGGTCAGTGCTGGATTTCGCTTTCTTCGGCTTTGCTAACTTTCATTAAGCTCAGGGCCCGAATTTGATCCTCCGAGGCTCTGCGCCATTCGTTATCTTGCCGGAATTTT